TTAGAATTGGTACCAGTTTTAAATGTGGATCCTTGGTTTTTGTGTTTATTTGTGTTTTTGTTATTTACTTGAACATTTCTGGGGGAATAAAAGCTCTAGCCTCCAGCTGGGCCCAGTCACAGACCTGCTATCTCCCTCCCTGTGGGACATGGAAGGTTGGTGGACTAATTTGGTCCCCTTCAAGCCTCATGCTGCATTTTCTCCTTGTGGAGGCTGCCAGCCGGGAGGGTGTAGAAGGCTGTGTGCCTGGTTTGGATTTTTCAGCTGGTCCTGACAATGTAACATTTTTTAAAGTGCTCTTGTCTAAAATTGGGTAAAACACAGAATCAGTTTCAGGTGACCCCCCCCCCAGCTTTCCTCCAACAGAAGGTATTCAAAAGACCAATTGGTGATATGCCTTGCTAAACAAAAAGCCCTGGGAAAATGAAGCTCAACAAAGGTATCTTGTTTAAAAAAATCTTGTCTTAAATCTTTGTTTAAAATTTTTAGAAAATGTACATACAACTAATTTTCATATTTGCATGATTTAAGATCTGTGTGAATGTGTTTTGTATGTGTTTGTGAACATGTTGAAGATAAAAAATTGTCAGAATGCTGTCACAATTTGGTGAGTTTAAGTTTAAAATTCAAAAGGTTATGAGGTTTGGACATTACCAAGAAATCTCAAAGAATCTTCACATTGTTTTAAAAGGCTTTTAAAGGATTTTTTAACTTGAAAATTAGACAATCTGGTATTTTAAAGCCTGGTATTTTAGAATGCATAAGGCTGTTTTCCCTGTAATCAAGTTATCTAGCTTAACAAAAAGGCATTGGCTGTTTGGGATTTAGTTCCCTTGGCTAAAATTTGGGGATAAATATTAAAAATTTAAATGTAAAAGTTTAACACTGTCAAAGAATTGTTCTATCTGTCTAAAACTGTGTATTTCATTCAAGAACCAAGAGAAAAGAAAAGGGAAAAACTTAGAAGCCAACAAAAGATCTATCTTTAGGGGTGAGAGGTGAACAGGCAGAAGTGCAGTTCAGCAGGTCATGCATGGTGGGATAGGCCCTGGAGGGAGTCCACATTTGGTGGGACAGGCCCTGGGAAGAGTCCACACTTGGTGAAAGAGGGCAAGCTGGCACAAATGCAGTTCATCTAACCCTAGAGTCGGATAGGGTGTGTGCCCATTCCATAGGAGGGGCCGAGTAGCCCATCTTTGTTCTGTCCCTTTTCCCTGCAGATAGACACTGGAAACGTGATGGTAAAAATTAGTGATGATCTGATCTGATTAGCGTTGCTAAAACTACCCCTTGGATATGTTAAAATTAAAATTAAGAAAGCCTTCAAAAGAGGGTTAAAAACTTATTTGTATAATGTGACTTGCTTTCAATGATGTTCTACAATTAGGATATATTTTTAAAAGTCATAAAGGTGTTAAGTCTAGCTTCTTGGTACAGTGATGGGGACTGTAATTCTTGCATTAAGGAAAAATTGTCATTTGAGTTTAAAAGTGTTTTTTTTTTTTGGGTGGTCCGGTCATGGGGCCTGAACTCTGGGCCTGGGAGCTGTCCCTCAGCTCTTCAGCTCAAGGCTAGTGCTCTACCACTTGAGCCACAGCGCCACTTCCAGCTTTTTTTCTTTTTGCTTATGTGGTGCTGAGGAATCGAACCCAGGGCCTCATGCATGCAAAGCAAGCGCTTTACCACTGAGCCACCTTCCCAGCCCAAGTTTAAAAGTTTTTAATGTGTATCTGTTTTAAAACAAGCAGCCAAGAGGCAATGAATGACACTTGGCCTCAAGATTTCAAGGGATCTTTTCAAAATGCAAATGAAAACTAAAGTATAAAATATTAAAAGAAAATAAGAGGATTAAAAATTAGAAATGGATTCCTGGATATAAAGCTTAAAAGTAAAATTGTTCTTAACATTTGCGTCAAAGTGCAAAAAGGAAAAATTAGGATTACCAAAATAATTGCTTAATTGCTATTTCTGTTTGCTCTTATAGGTTTTTTATAACAGTTCCCAGCAGGCTCACAAAAAGGAGTGAGGATTCTAGCAAGTTTGTGAGATGTAACTTTGGCTCTTAAGAGCATGCTTAAAAGCTACTTCTATGTTGACCTCTTTGTTGCTTTTAATTGGAGTAAAGTGGCCTTTTATAAGACTCATTGATCTACAAACTGGTTCAAAGCCATCCCGAGCAGAAAAAGGTCCCTATGAGACTATCACCTCTAATCAGCAGAGTGCTGAAAGAGCAAGCAGAGTTGCTTTGGGACTCAAAGTGGCAGAGTGCTAGCCTTGAGCTGGAGAGCTGAGGGACAGCACTCAGGCCCCGAGTTCAAGTCCAGCGACCAACTAAGGGAAATGCCAATGAGGCTTTTATCCTGATGTGGAAAGACACTCCTGGGATGAAAGCAAAGGTGGAGCATCCAGAGGCAGTAAGCCACTGCTTGGGATGGAAGAAACAAAGTCAGATCCTAGAGTCATTTGTGCATGGCCCTTCAAGAATTGATCAGAGCCAGGAGGTCATGCGAAGACAGGTTTGTAAGCATGCCTAATGTCCATGACTATCTTGTAAAGGACAGGAACTTGCCATCCTCTGAGATAGTAGTAAAAAGCTAAAGTTACAAAATGTGGGAGATAGTTTAAATCCCAACCCCTGTATGTGCCCAAAGTCCTAATTGGCAGTAACTTTTGAGCTTACACCAGCTACATGAAATTCATCTGCTCAGGAAAGTGTGTAAACCTGAGAGTGTGTTTCTATTGACATCTGTCTGAAGGCCTGCACAGGTAATTAGGCATTGTTAGGGTCACTACAGATCACATTCCTAAGCCATCCAGAAAGATGCTTTTGCAAATCAGAGTGCTAAACAAGCTACACTGCTGTAGCCAGAGAAAAGTTCTGTGCATTTGTCAAAAGTTAAAATAGGCTAAGGTTATAGGTTCCCAGCTAGGTAGGATTAACGCCCCTGAAGTCAGCTTGAAGAAGTTACAGAAGATGGACCTTTGCTCATCAACGCCCCCTTTTAAAATCAAGAGTCCAGAGTCAGTTTTGGAAAAACAAGGCAAAATAGAATAGTGTTAACAGGTGTGCAAGTGTGGACTGCACCTGTCGGAGATGGTTACAAGACCAAGCCTTCTGTGTCTGTTTAAAAGTTGTCTTGGTAAATTGTCCTGGGCCATTGCCTAAATGTTCTTAAAAAAACAGTGGGGCCACAGCCTTCCAAGTCTGTGTAGGAATTTGCAGCCCAGCATGAGGTGTGACAGTGCCTTGGAGCCACTGAGAAATCCTGCTGCTGCTGCTGCTGCTGCACACCCTAATGGGTAAAGTTCAATGACAGCCTGACAGTCTCCTGGAGGAGCTTATGAGTACAGCTGGCATAAAATTAAGTTAGCCATGATATATAGTCAGGACTGGTAGAAGAAATCGTGAGGGTCTTGGAAAAACTGCACCAGGGACTTGCAAATGTCCCACTACCAACCTGGACTCTGGATCGCTTTGCAACTCTTTGGCTGAATAGATAATGTCTCTGGCCCGACCCCTGATATTGTTAGTTCTGATACTCACAATTGGTCCTTGAATGATTAACAGGCCTACTAATCTTTGTAAAAGAGAGGGTTAATGCAGCCCAGGTACTGGTTCTCAGATCTCAGTAATGGCCCATAGATGAAGTTAACATAGATCTAGATATGAAAGGACCATGATTGGCCCCTTTAGTTAAGGGGGGAATGTGAAACCTGAACGAAATATAGCAATTTTAGGTTTGGATTCCATTTTGTCCAGGAACTGTGTAACTCCCCTTGAACCCTAATTCCAGGGAATCAGCAACTCCCCTTGATCCCCTTGAGCCCGAATTCCAGCAACAACCCTCTTTATGGAAAATTCCGCTAACCACAGTTTATCAGCAGATAACAGGATAAGGACCACTTGGTTGGGGTTCAGACCATCTGCCCCAGCCAATCATTTCAAAGAGCATGAACTCCATCAACCAGCCAATCCCCAGTACCTGGTCGGGTCCTGCCACTGGTTTCACTAATCATCTCTTAGATTTATTTTATGATTTTTCCCACGTTGTGATATGATTTGCTGTGTTGCAATGACACATAGAAGGCCCTAAAACCCCTATAAAAACCCTGCTAGAGGAAGCATCGGGGCTCTCAACTGTGACTTGCTGCCTAGGTGATGGTTGTGAGTCCAGGCTCAAGCTTGTAATAAATGATTCTCATGTGCTTCATCGGAATTGGCTCCTTGGTGGTCTTTGGGGATCTATGTGGGCATAAGAATATGAGATTGCAAACCATTGTTTTCCATATTAATGTAATTGTAGAGCTAGTTCTGTCATTGTAACCTGGGTCAATTTAAGGCCAGGTGATATGAAATGATGTCCTCCAAGTCATACAGCAGGTTTCCTGAGAGGAGCACAGGTTTTTCAACTCTCGGATTGTTCTTTTTCCTCTCTAACATATGATTCAGAGTACAGCCCTGCGGGAATACACTTAATCTGCATCTCACGTGAGAGCTTGTCCTGTAGATTTATGGTCCTCTGTCTACGTGTAATGATAACAGTTATAGGCTACACAGTAAGTTAGCTGTAAACTAGGTAGCTGGCAGTAACAGATGGAGAGTATACACTCCCGTATTTAAAAACAAAAACAAAAACCTTCAGTGAGTTGTCAAAGGTCTCAGTGAAAAAACTAGAAATCCAGCAGGCAGCTCAAGTCGACCTGTGTTCTCTAGGTAATATTACAATAGTGGAGTGATATCGGAACTTAGATCCCTTAAAGCATGAAGTCTGGACCTGGCTAAATCTGAAACGAAATCTGAACTGAAATCAGTTCAGGAAGAAAAGGGTATTTGCCAGAAAGAAAAATGGCGGAAATGGCTACGGGAGAAATATCGCGATAAGAGCATAGGAGCAGATTCGAAAACGAGAGTTGGAATGGGCGGGGGGCGGGGGGGGGCGGGATTCGGGGCGGGGGGGGGGTGATAAAAGTCGTTGAGCTCAGTGACGGTTGGAGCGGCTGCACGGCTGCAGCCAGAGTAGTGCCGAGGGTCTGGCTGGTGGGAACTGCGGCCATGGACTATATCACTAGACCTAAGGTAAAGAAAAAGTTAGAAAAAGGTCGGGAACTGTGGGCTCTTTCTTGGTGTTCAGCTGGGAGTTCAGGTACTCCCCGGCGCCTCCTCGGGCTGCTCTTTGACGCCCTCTTTCCGTGTTGGGATTCGTGGCATTTTCTCAGTCCACACCCCCTTTCAGCCAAACTGCGCTGTCCACCTCAGGACCTGCCGCGGAGCGGTCGCGGAGCGGAGAGAGGCGGTCTGTGTCGCTGTCCCCCACACACTACCGCTCCAGCTCGCGTCTATCGTGCTCCTCCGACCCCATGGGGCTCCATTGCTTACCTCAGCCGGTACCTTCAAACCCACTTTTACTTCAGCTTTCCCCAATACCCCTAGATAGTTGATTCTTTTTTTTTCTTCCTCGTTTTTCACTTACTTCCAGATGGCCCCTTTAATATGCCTCGCCGGCCCCCTAACGCGCGTTGTTGTTTTTTTTTTTTTTTGGCGGGTGGGGGGCAGGGGCCGACCGCTACGGGAACCGAAGAGAGGAGGGGGCTGTGAAGAGCTAAGATGGGAGGAGAAACCCAAGAGGTGTAGCAATACCTGGTCAGTTGGCGCCTGCTTATACTCTGCAGTTAGAGCCCCTTCGGCTTTTTTTTCCCCACTCATTTTTTTTTCAGACCCTCCTGTCTTACTATCTTCCCCTGAGACCAATGCCAACCCCTGTATATTCCAATTCCACCCTCCTACTGACGTTTTCTTATCCTGACTAGGATGGAGAAACACTGAAGACTTGACAACTAGTATGTGGTTAATGTTTTTCCAATGCTTGTAACAGATATGGCTTAGGCTAACAAGTCCACATAAAAATCGAGCATGTTTAAATGGGAAGAGCGGGGATTTTGAAGTCACTAGTATTTAATTAAGGTGTTTGATCTCACCAAACATGAACTGATGTCTTGAGGCAAACTGTTCAACCACTCTGAGGCTTGGCTTTTCTCATCTACCCGATGAAAATATAAAACTCATCTCTACTCACTGCACACAGGTGGTTCTGAGGATTAAATAAAAAGTATGCATGAAAGGAGTTTTTCAGTATATGTATGTATGTGCTGGTATGTGGTCATGAACTCAAAGATTTTGTGCTCTAATTTGGTTTTTTGCTCATGACTAGATCTCTGCCAATTGAGCTACAGCCCAACACTCAGCTTTTTACTGGTTTTAATGAGTGTCTAGGATTTCTCTGCCTGGACTAGTATTGAACTACTATCTTCAAATCTCAGTCTCCAGAGTAGCTACGTTTTACAGGCATGAGCCACCAGTGCTCAGCTGAAAGTTTTGGTGGTGTTTTTAGCCGTTACTAGAGCTTGAACTCAGGCCTGGGCACACTCCCTTAGTTGGTTCACTCAGGGCCATCACTGTCCCTCTTTAGCCACAACTCTACTTCTGGCTGTGGGTGATTAATTGGAGATCAGATTCTGATAGACTTTTCTGCCCCAGCTTGCTTCAAAAGCTGATCTTCAGACCTCAACCTCCTAAATAGCTAGGATTAGAAGCATGAGCCATAGCACCTAGCTCCTGGTTTGAAAGTTTGGGGGTTTTTCTAACAAAAATCTAAGTGTTCTCTGCCTACTTGTTGGCTATAGACTTTGACACCTGATGGGAAAAGCAAGCTATCCAGCCTTCAAACATTTTCTTTACTCACCAGCCTCTCCTCATGCCCCTATCTGTAGAAGATCAACCACATCCCTTGTAGCATGCATCCTTGACTATATCTGAATCCCTTCATTTCCAGGTCATGTCATTTATACCAGGTTCCTTGTGTGGTATGACATGGTAGCCCCACTAAAAAGGCAAAGGCCTTCTTCTATATGAACTTGCTTTTCTAGCAACCCACCTAAGAACAACCCATTTTACTTGCCCAGTTAAAAATAAGTTTACCTGAATAATCTTTTTGTTCTTTTGACTGGGAAAGAGAAAAAAGCGGAATTGCCTTTGCCCTTGAGGGTTAAAATACTAAGATATTTAAATCCACCTGTAGGAAGGTAGAATTAAAGCTATGAACTAAACTGACCGTGTGTAATGGAAGGGAAAAGAAACCATTAACTGGCTAGCAGAGAAATAATGATAGTGGGGCCGGGAAGGTGGCTCAGTGGTAGAGCGCTTGCCTTGCATGCATGAGGCCCTGGGTTCGATTCGTCAGCACCACATAAGCAGAAAGAAAAAAAGCCAAAAGTGGCGCTGTGGCTCAAGTGGTAGAGCGCTAGCCTTGGGCTGAAGAACTGAGGGACAGCGCCCAGGTCCAGAGGCCCCACGACCGGACCCCCCCAAAGAAAGAAATAATGATAGTGGATAAGACATACTAAATGTTTATATTATAGGCACTGTGCTAATTGTTTTGTATGAAGTAGCTCTTCAATCATTGGAAAAATATCTTGAGAGAGATGTTACTGTTATTCCCATATTAAGATGAGGAAACTGAGGCCTATAGAGATACAATCACTAGTGATTCACACTTGTAATCCTAGTTACTTAAGCTGAGATGTAAGGTTTGCAATTCCAAGCCAGCCCAGGCAGAAAAAGTCCATGAGACTCTTATCTCCAATTAACTACCAAAAAGTTGGAAGGGAGCTGTGGGTCAAGTCGTAGAGTATTAACCTTAAGTGGAAAAAAAACTAAGATAGTGCCCAGACCCTGAGTTCCAGCCCCAGTACCAGCACAAAAATAAGATCAAATTGCTCAGTTTCAGACTGGTATGAAGGTGGGATTCAGGCTCAAGAAAATTTTAGCTAACATGTAACCAGACTCTCATCATGTATTATGTGGGTGATGTAAGTCTTTAAAATATGAATAAAAATTCCAAATGAAGATTTCATTCTTTAAACAAATTGACATTTCATCTGGTGCCTGGCAGGACTATTACTACCCACAGGGTGTGTATTGCTATTGTTTTTTTTTTTTTCTAAATTTCTGGAAGGATTAACATTTCACTAATGGCTAGATTAATCACAACTTAATCAGTGACCTCCTCATTAACTCATTATTCTACTCATTACCACAAAGGGAAAAAAGTCGTCTATTTTGTCTATCTCAGGACAAACCGAGTTTGTCAGTCATTCTTATGTCAAGTGTGAGAAATGGCTTTTACTTTTGGATTTTGATTCTTTTTTGACCACACACAATTCATAGATTATAAGTTTATAGTTCAATGGAAGATTGGCAAATGGATATACCCAAATAGTTAGCACCAAGATCAAGAAAAACATGATCCTTTTCAGTCACTACCTCACCTAAGGGTTAACTACCATCCTGAATTCTAAAGGGATATACTGGGTTTCTCTTTTGTTGTGCTTAATTTAAATGATTTTATACAGTAAATAATCTTTGTGTCTAATTTTTGCTCAATATTGATTCATCCATATTATTCTATATATAAATAATCCTCATTATTAATATGCCACATAAGATTTATTCATTTGTCAGTTGATGGGGAATTTTCAGATCTTGTATTACAAATAGAACATTCTTTTTTTCCTTTTTTCCCCCATATATATTTTTATTGTAAAAATACTGTACAGAGGGGTTACAGTTATGAGTAGGATAATGAGTACATTTCCTATCGAGCATTGTTACCTCCTCCTTTGTTTTTCTCCTACTATCCCTTCCCTCCCTACCTCCCCAACTCCTCCCCCCACCAAGTTGTAAAGTTCGTTTTCAACATAGTTAGAACATTCTTTTGATGTATATAACATGCATTTTTGTTGGAATAAAAATATGAGTGGAATTTCTGGGTCATAGAATATGCCTATCTTTCACTAGACACTAATACTACTAATCTGCACTCCTGTCACCTATGTATGAGAAACAAAGTTATAACTTAGGGTTCAGTGGTCATTATTGAATTACTTCAGCCCTACCCCAAAGTTCATTGACTCTCCTGTCAGGATGAGAGTTTGTTCCTTATGCTTTTCCCTACCCTTATAACTTCTATGTGACTTAGTACCTAGAGATCTTAATTACCTTTCCTTCCTGGAATGGTACCTTATTAATTAGGATTTATTCAGCTAACATTTATTAAGCTTCAAAGAAAATTTACTGTGGTTAAGTCTGCATACCTTGGAGTCAGACTGTCTGAATTCAGATCTCCTTTCTGTTACTCAACTAGCTTTGTAATCTTGGCAATTATGCAACCTCTCTGTGCCTCTGTGTTTTTTCTTTCTGTAAATTGCTGGTGATAATAGTAACTTTCTTACAGGGTTGTTATAAGGATTAAATAAGTTAATATTTGCAGAAGTGTTTAGAATAGTGTCTAGTACGTGGTAGATGATTAATTTAGCTACCAACTACTATCATTATCATTAGTAGTTATTATTGTTTAGGGAAACCACATTGGGAATTATTGAGGGAAGAAAGCTGGTTTAGCTATAGCATCTGCTCCCTCTCAATTTTCTTTTCTTTTCTTTCTTTCTCTCTTTTTTTTTAAAGAGGTAGCCGAATAAGAACAGCACCACGCACGTGGTATTCAGGTAAGGGGTAGGTTTATTCATAGTTCCTGCTGGCACCAGACCATCTTGGTCCTCCATGCGGTGGAGAAAGGCCTGGGAAAGAGCGAGCTGGGAAAAAGGGAGAAAAGAGCTACAAAAGAGAGAAAAGAGCTAGAAAAGAGAGCGTCTGGGAAAGGTGGGAAAGAGAGCTAGGAAAGAGAAGGGAGCTGGGAAAGAGAAGAGAAGGAAAGAGCTGAGAAAGAGCTAGAAAAGAGCAGAGAGCCTCTCAATTTTCTTAATCAATGGAGGTAAAATGTCAAGTATAAGATCCAGGAATGAAAGTGAAAGCTTTCATGAAAGAAATAAATGAAATGCTATTGAAATTTAAAAGCAAATAAGATAGTGTTGTAGATGAATGGGAAGAATATGAAATAAAAATTTCTGGAGAAGATAACATTGAAACAATCTAAATAATATTTATGGCTTAACTGTTCAAAAATTGGTGAAGGAAGACTTCCTGCCAAGAGAATTTCAAGAGCATAAACTCACAGGCAATAG